CTGGCTCCTTTAAGTTCTCTAGACTTAAGTTAAATACTACTTCAAAGATTCTTCCCTGCCACTTTATCAAAAGTAGGTTCCTCCCTTATTCTCTATGCCAGCTCTCAGTTTCCCTCAAGGCAGTGACCACAATTCCTAATTTACTTCTTTTTTTTTTTTTTTTTAAGATGACCGGTAAGGGGATCTTAACCCTTGACTTGGTGTTGTCAGCACCACGCTCAGCCAGTGAGCTAACCGGCCATCCCTATGTGGGATCCGAACCCGGGGCCTATGGTGTTATCAGCACCGCACTCTCCCGAGTGAGCCACGGGCCGGCCCTAATTTACTTCTTATTTACTTCTTTTTGTTCCGCTCATGTTAGAAATGCTTGGTGGAGGACAGGAACTTTGTGTCTTGCTCACTACTACTTCCACCGCCCTAGCACCATGCCTGGCACGTGGTAGACACTCAATAACTATCTGATGAATCAGTGTCTGGAAGGCACCTTATCCTTATCCCCTCGAGTGAAGAAACATTCTCCCCTGTAATGCAAATACGGGAACCAGGAGTGAAGTTTCTAGATTGTCCAAGGCCACTGAGCTAGACACTGAAGACAAGAATCGAACCGAGTTGAACCTACAGACGTAGGACCCCAGAGCCCTCACCCTCAAACACCACACAGAAGTTTTCCAGTTTTCGGGAACCCGACAGTACCGGAAGAACCGGGTATAAAAGGGCAACCGAGAAGCCCCCAGCCGGCTGGGCTGGCGAACTTCCCAGCAGGCCCAGCGTTCGGGGGTGTGGCCAGACGAGTAGGCGGTCCTGGAGGCCAGAAGACTAGCCGGAGCCTACGTATCCCACAAGGCTCCACAGGACGCCGCTGACTGGCGGAAGCGAGGCCGTCGGCAGCGTGGTGACGTTGTCAGGGTCGCTGGCGCGCGGGATTTAAACTGCGGCGGTTTACGCGGCGTTAAGACTTCGTAGAGTCGGTGGAGTTGTGGTTTCTTGGCGTTTCGTGTTTTTCTTCCCTGAGGACCCTCCGAATGCCATGGACGCGTCGCTTCAGGCCTGCCTGTTTCCCGGTCTCGTTATCAAGATCCAACGCAGTAATGGTGAGGGGCGGGGTCCGGAGGCCAAGGGGACGAGGGCGCGGTGAGACGACAGAAATTACTGTCCCGCCCCCAAACGGCAAAGCCCTGCAACACTGTTGGGGATTCCTCCATATAGAATCCGGGTCTCTGTACTGGCAGTCAATCATCCCTACAGAGTGGTTGGGACCTCTGCGCTGGCTGTGTGTCCCTTTCCCGCCCTCGTGAGTGAGTGGAGCTTTTCTGCGGTCATTAGACCTCCCAGGGAAGTCAGGGCTGCTAGATTCACTTCTCTTCCAAAATTCTTCCCTGAAACTTCCCTACTCTTGTAGGGACCTCGGCCTCCTGTCCCCTCTACTCTCCAATAAATATTGCGCATTTGCAATATGTCAGGCACTGAAATTCAGAGTAAACTAGACAGACCAGATCCCTGCTCTCGAGGAGTTTGTAATTCAGTACTTTTCTCTCCCCCTCCCCCTTTTCCTTTTCTGTCCTCTGTAGGCCAGGACAGTCCTTTCTTTTGGTTAAGCAGCTACTGCATCTGTGGCACGTCATTATCCGTGTCGTTAGGAGAATGGTCAAACATGACTGCCAGAAGCAAGTTAGGGAAACCCGAGGGGGCCAAATCCTCAGTGCTGTGTTGAGGAACATTTCGCCTAAGTACTATAGTGACTACCCTGCTGAAACATACCTTCTTTCCCTTGTAGGCTCTCTTTTGAGTGGGTGTGAATCCTTATCCCATGTAGCTCTGTTTTAAGACCTGTCCCCTTCCCACCTTAATGTGGGATGTTCTAAGAGGGAAGCCCCGGGAGGTTTATTTGTCTCTCTCAGTGTTTAAAAAAAATTTAAAAGTTAATAATAATAATAATAATAAACATCAGTCCCTTTGTTCAGGTAAACTCCACATTGGTTGCCTCCAAGGGATCCTAAAAGTGAAGCCCTCAGGAAACAGATGGATAACTCTGGTCTTTTCATACTATAGGCTTAATTCACAGTGCCAACGTAAGCACTGTGAACTTGGAGAAATCCTGCGTTTCAGTGGAATGGATAGAAGGAGGTGCCACAAAAGGTAAAGAGGTAGGTTCTATAAGAATGCCTCTACCACCTTTAACATCTTCCTACGTAAAGGATCTGTGTGGAAATGGAAACTGTGAGAGCCTAATTTCTGATGCAATGCTGTCTTCCCTAATCTTTTAAAAAAATTTTTTAAAGATGGCCAGTGAGGGGATCTTAACCCTTGACTTGGTGTTGTCAGCACCACGCTCTCCCAAGTGAGCCAACTGGCCATCCCTACATAGGGATCCGAACCTGTAGCCTTGGTGTTATCAGCACCACACTCTCCCAAGTGAGCCACGGACCCGCCCCAATCCTCCCTAATCTTAAAAATGGTCCACTTTGGGTGCATTGGGATTTTATTTAGTCAGGCCTGTTCTAAATTGAAGCAATCAGCAGTTTCTGGTGTGCCTGTAGAAAGCAAAATGCACAGAATCCTAAAACCTTGCTCACCCAAGCTAGGTTCCGAGTGCACACTACCTGTGATATCAGTTTGGGGGGCAAAATTGATAACCCAGTTGAGACAATAGTGTGTTTCTCAAACACCAAATAACAGAAGGCAACATGTGATGAATGGCACAGATGAGTAATGCTGGAGCAGCTGAGAGGTGGAAACTCACTGAGGATGGGCTGAGCTTGAAGGGTGGAGAGTGAAGGCTTAGCTGAAGCAGCAATATGGCACACATGAGAACTAGTGAAGAAACTGGCCACAGGCAGTGGAGGACTCAGGGTGCTTGGCAGTAGCAAAAAGGCTGAAAAAGGAGGGTCTTCAACTCTGGCACTAAGATGTTTAGGTTTTCTTCTGCAGGCAGTAGGGAGCCTTGAAAGAATTTCAGGAAGAGGAGAGATGTGACTAAGGCATTTATATTCCAGAGGCATTATGGTGTAGTGAAAAGGTTACTGGGCTGGATTCTAGTCTGGCTCTGCCACTACTTTGTGTTATCAGGCATGTTTCTGCCCTTCTCAGAAATTTAGTTTTCTCATCTATAAAGTGACGTTGATTGTAATACCTACCTCATAAGGTTGTTGCAAGGACTAACTCTACAAATCCTTTTGGACTTGTTCCAAAATGCTAAACATTGTGTTGGGTGCTAGAGATACAGAGTTGAATAAAATAGACCCCTGGGGCCTCTTTCTTGGAGCTGACTAAATGAGATAACATGTAAAGTACTTGCTTAGCATAGTCCCTGTAGTAGGTATGCAGATATTTAAGTGGTATATCTGAGAAATAAAAGGATTGAATGCTCTCCATTATCTGCCCCTAAATAATCAAGAGGTTCCTAAAATTCCTTTCAACCAGCAGCTCCTTGTGATTTATATTTTGTTTGTGTTGTTTGTTTAGAAATATATCTCGTCTTGGGTCTCACCTCAGATCAAATGTTGCCTTTGGAATAAGGTTCAAACTTCTTAGTGGGACATTTAGAGCCTTTTCAAGATCTGACACTAATCGGGCTTTTTTTTTTTTTTTTTAAAGATGACCGGTAAGGGGATCTTAACCCTTGACGTGGTGTCAGCACTACGCTCTCCCAAGTGAGCTAACTGGCCATCCCTATGTAGGGATCCAAACCCGTGGCCTTGTTGTTATTAAAATCCACACTCTCCCAAGTGAGCCACGGGCTGGCCCAGCCTTTTTCTTTGTACCACTCTTCTTCCAAAGTATCCTGTGTCCTCGCAAATGGTGCAGCTCGCTACTCTGTGACCATGCCTAGTGCCTTTCTGCCTCACACTCTTCTTACTCTTGTTTCTTCTTCCTGATCAGTTCACCCTGAATTATCAATATGAGAATCAGTTAATGTCAGAGCTAGGGTTAGATATTTTTATGAATTTTTATGCTCTCTGTAGTTTGTGGGTTGGAAATGGAGGACATATGTGTACTAAGTCATTAGCTATCCAAGAAATGTGGACAGAAGTGTGGTTACTGAAGTACTTGCCAGCTTTTGCATTCAGTGATACCATCCTTGTCTATTCCATCCTACTCTGTTTTCTACCCCTTCGTGTATGTGACTTATCTTCCTCATTAGAATCTGAGCTCACTGAGGGCAAGGGTGATATATGTCTTAATTCATCTTTGAATACCTTCTGCTGGAGACCAGCTCTGCAGGATTTGTTGGACCTGAACTAGGTGGTGTGGCGTCGGTGAGGAAAGAAAGAGATGGACCACAGATGTCTAGTGCAAGTGTGGACAACAACCACAAGAATCTTGTTTTATTTATATGTTTTTTTTTTTTTTTTTTTTTTAAA